TTTAACTAATGAAGTAATGCTAGTGTAAGTGCAACACAACATGATAGCTTACTCAGGGATGAGTTTTCATTGTTCTACAACTTGATGTCATGAATGTTTGTATTATTATTTGTTTTCGAAATTATCGTGTTCCTCAAGTGTGTTTTTTGTTTTTGTCTCAGAAAACAAGAACAAATTGGTTTTCTCTACCATCAAAATCAAACGAAAAACAAAATGGATTTAAGCTGCAGAAGGAAAAATTCTGATCCAAACTTAGTCTTGCTCTGTTCTGTTGGCGCACGGGGTGAATTATATTTAGATTTAAATTCCCTTCTTCTACCAGCAGCATGGAATTGGAATGGCTACTACCGACATCATTTCAGCTTCCACCAAGACACAGATTCAATTCTGTGGTCAGCTGTCAGCCCCCAAATACAAATCCACCCTGGTCGATCTAAATGCTTGCTTATGAGTACTCCATATGCAAGGAAGCTAATGGGCCTCATGTCGGCAAATGCATATGGGGATATGGGGATATGGGAATATGGTAGACGTTATGGGACTTGCAGCTATTTGCTGCAAAATCCTGTACGGTATCGGTATGGTCAAGACGGGTCAATTAAGTAGTTGTTTACTTGTTTCCTTCTTCAGCAACACCCGAATCGTAATTCCCAAACACTGCATATATAAATTTGCTTGGCGTTATGCTGCAGTAAAATCTCAGGAATTACGATTAATTGAATCTTCTCACAGAAACTAAAGTGAAAACAAGGAGGAAAGAGTCAATGAAGAATGGCCGAGTCATATCTTGAGGGTGGTGATCTGTGCGAGTGTAGGTGTTTTGTGCATTACCCATTTTGATAATAAAATGAAGCAGTGGAATCAGGATGGACTTATATATGGTTTTGATGGTACCAGCACGTAATTAAAAGAGATTGCAAAACCAAGAATACTGAAACCTGTTGGTGGTGCACTCCATGTATTCATGAACCAAGTCACCTAATCACATCACTCTGTAAGATTACTGTTGAGAGGCATTTTAATAATCTAAAGAGTTTAAATTTACCACTGAACTGAACAGAGAAATTACTAGAAACTAGTGCATTTTTCTCTTTTAATATAAAAAAAGACCTACTGAAAACAAGATTTGATGCCTACTTTGTTGTTCGACAAATCTTTTTGGAATCATATTCGAAGTTTGGAAATAACTAAAAAAATTAATTAAAATCGATAAAATGAAGCAGTCAAGCTGTACTTTACTGTCCATTGTCCGTAGTCCATAGAGATAGAGAGTGGGCTATCAAGGCCCATGAACTTGGACGGTGTTGGGACTTGAGAGGGCCTATAATTTATCTGACCTGACACATGACATGATATGTATGAACTGTGAATGAAATGTTTGGGGAATAAAAAGAAAAAAAGAAAAACATTCACATTGGATAACAACCCCCCTATAGCCTAACTGCCTAAGCCCGGCCAATTCATCTTTACCAGCTGCCACCTCCGTATTATATTTATGTTAGTTATAATAACAGCACCTTGAAATGGGTGGATGCGCCAAACCAGATCAATAAACTTTCTCTACCAGTTGAAGAGTTTGTGGATTTCAAGATTATCCGTCTCATGGGGGTCTATATATCTATGTATAAGAAGCAGATGACATGTCTGCTACGATTTTGACCTCCTTACTCATTTAACTAACCAACCTAGGCTACTTAAATACCATTAAATCGTGTAGGTGTGTTGTTTCCAAAGCCTAGCTACTTAACTCTTAGCTTGTAAGTTTCTCTTCTTTTGAAACTTGAAAGAGAAAGAGAGGTGGTTAATTAATGGTTAAAATACCCCCCATGAAGAAAACTGAATTTTCTCAACTTTTGGCACCCTGGTATCACGCATGGAATCTCTATCTAGAGTTCTAGACGGCTCAACTTCAGTGTTTAAAAGTTCTATTTAGTAGACCTGAATATTCAAACTTAAATGTGGAATGATACAGTTGCATTGGGTTTCATGCACAGTGTGACTACTTGTTTAAGTAAAACATTTTAAAAAGCCGGTATTCCTAGCTTGTTCCTGCTTCACTTGTGCTGTGTTAAGTGATGATACTTAAACTCAGTTTGGAAGGAGCATAAACACAAATACGTAGAATGCAAAACCTTTCAATTATTTTGTATGTATATATTTTTGCATTTGTACTCCTTCATTGCGGTGCAATTTTCATTTGCACTGGGTGTAAATGTAAAGGTAGGAGTCCAATTCCCTATTCTACCATTTCCATTTCTATATATTTAAATGCTTTTAACTGAAAATCTGAAATGCCAACCTGTAGTTCCTGTACCAAACACCGTCGGTGCATCTTTAGAAAACTGGTGTTCAACTTTCAGTTTTCCTTGAGATAGATTAGACATATGATACAAATATCTATCCACTATATATCTATCCTGCTACGACGTTCGGCAGTAAGATTGTAGGAATAAATAACCTTTCTTTTTATCGAATTTTTAAAACTTGGTTAGGCTAAAAAAGGCCCCTTAAGTTGTTCTGTATATTCAAACATATTATGATATAACAGCGTTATATATTATGAGTGTTGTACATGTGTTAACAATTTAAAAGATATCTCAAAATGTTCGTTTCATTTATTTAATTATTTTAAAAATATAGTCATAAAAAAAAAAGTTTTGGCCCTTCAGTCCAACTGTGAGAAACAAATTTGGTGGAGAATAACATGTGACATCTTCTTCATGTTTTCACCCACAAACTCTTTATCCTCACCAGCACGGCCATTTTTGTTTCCTACATACAGTGATATAGAAATTCTTTTCAATGAGACATATCATGATTTCAGTTTCAAATTCAATCACTACCTTTCAAAAGATTTAGTAAGTAGAGTTATTGTAATTCTAGTTTAGACATTTTTTTTTTTACTTTCACTGTTTCACATTTTAAAATTTATCGATTAATTGATATATCCTAGACAGTAAAAATTAAAAATAATTTTCTGATTTTCTCTACAAAGCAGCAGGTTGTATTTAATACCTGGGTCACACTTGCTCATCGGTTGGTTCATCTTCTTGGGAAAGGAACTGGACAGGAAGGAGAGATGGGCCATCTCTTCCTTTAAAAGGCAATAATTTCCAAAGAGTTGAAGAAGAAAAACCCCTTTAGAATGCCCATCCATGATCATCAGGTCATCTGAGTCGTACATCTCTGGATGACCGATTGATCATAATGCAATCAATCAGTAATTCAAAAAAGAAGAATCTGCAAAAGCAAAACAAGCGGCAAGCAGGGAGTTGAAAGGCAAAACCAATACGATCAGTAGACCAATAATAGTAGTTTAATTGCGTTCCACCTTGGCTTTTGTGTGGAGACAGACAACTATTCAGAATATATAATCCCAAGATTCACTCACCTTAAGAATCTAATCTAATCAAATCCACTCACAAACTCATAAACACTCCTCGTGCGTACCTTCCACAAAATATTCACAATATTCCTTATTAAAACTTCTTATTCTCTGCTGTGGTCGGTGCCCCCAAACTCCCGTGCGACGAAACTTCCCCCCAAGGCCCTAACGTGCTAGCGCCGGAAACATTTCCCCTTCGAGATCCAGTCATTCACTCACACGGTGACACCCTGGGTTACCTTCACCCAAAATCACTTTAGTGCCCCCATGGTTTCTCATTATTTACGCCGCTGACAACGTTATTAACAGTAACAGAGTAGCTGACTAAAGCTCAGAAATGTGCAATGTAAACCGGGTCTAGATATTTCTCCAATGAGGGGTATAATGGTAATATAATTATTAATTTGAGGGCAGTGGCCGAGTGGGGACAGTTTACCCATTTCCTCTCACGAGAAGAAACTGGCAGACTAGGGTTTTACGCGGATTATTTAAGAGCTAAGAGCGGTGGTCGGTGGGATGGGATGTGCACTTTCTTTCACTTTGTGTGCTCGTGAACCAAATTCCCGTACGTTACATGCCTATCGATCGTTTATCATCACATCATCAGAGCCATGAAGCCCTTAACGTATGCAGTAGTGGGCTCCACTTGAGAAGACTGAAACTTATGGATTAGGACATAAGCTTCTGTATGACTGACTATATCTATCACAAAAAAAATTGCTTCTAAATAATTAAAATTTTCAGCGTATAAAACAAATTAAAACCTTATTGAACGTTATCCCATTCGATTTGTTCTAGTCGATTTTTGATGGATGGGTTTGTTCTAGTTGATTAATTGTTCTACCAGTTAGAAGAAAAAAATATTAAATTGGATTATCTTTGGTTTTTATTCAAATTTCAATTGACGGAGCCGATTGAATTCCAACTTTAAAAGAGGTGTAGGACTATTGGTGATTGGTGAGGTTCGTGACCGTCCACCAACGTACTCAAAGATAAAAAGGTCCTCTGGGTCCTCTGGTTAAAAAACAAAAAGGGAACAAAATTGTTCCACTCCACCCACCCATTCAAAACGAAATAATTTCCGTATATTTTGCATTCTTATCTGGATTTGAATAAATGTAAACAAAATTGTACGAAAAGATTCTAATCAAGTGGGATTGGCACAGATTCCAAGTCGAGATTGTAAGCACAAGATTTATACACCATCACACCCTTTTACTATTATGCTTTTTGGATGGATTCTTGGAACGGAACTCTTCTAACTGGAATGCTGGAACCCAGCGCATACAGCGTAATGTTAGTCCTCCGTCTCCAGGGATGGACAAAAGATTGACCTTGCCATTTTGACCTTGTCCCATGATAAATGGGATTGAAAATTTGAAAACGAATCTAGAGCCTTGGCTTATTCCATATCAACATTCCACGTGGCAAATACATTCTTAAGCAGGAGGCTTTGAGTAGAAATAGGACCTTGATTCTGCTGTCCCATTCGTATCATTTTATGGCAACACAAGCATAAGATCGTGAGTCGTGAGTCGTGACATCGCGTATACGTGTTAAGAAAGAAACGTGGTAACAAGTTGCTGAAATGACAAAGTTAACCCTGGATTATGTACAAATTTACAATCATTTGCAAGATGACTTCGGTCAACTGGCAATCAAATTAAAGGAGGAGATAGGACTGGGAGGGAGGACATTTTCGTCATTTGAGATTCAAATTTATTAATCTTGGTAGTACTACGGCTAGTTCCTATATAATATTGTCCGATCCATGTTGAGCGTGACCAGCCACAGGCCACAGCCAGCCTAGGAGGAGAGGAGAGCACAAGACGGCGAGAGAAGACAGAGAGGAGGAGAGATGGGTAACAGCCTGAGGTGTTGCTTGGCCTGTGTTCTTCCCTGTGGAGCTCTAGACTTGATCCGTATCGTCCACTTGAACGGTCATGTGGAAGAAATCACCCATCCAATCTCCGCCGGTGAGGTGCTGAAGGCCAACCCCAACCACGTACTCAGCAAGCCTTCTTCTCAGGGTGTAGTTCGCCGGATTCTAATTCTCTCTCCCGAGTCCGAACTCAAAAGGGGTAGCATTTATTTCTTGATTCCTTCTTCGTCCCTTCCAGAGAAGAAGAAAAACAACCGCAGCAATAGCAATAGCAATCCCCACAGCCACAACAAGTCCTCCAAGAAGACGAAGAAGACTTCCATCACCACCACAGCCACCCCGGCAGCCCCAGATTGCGAACGCTATCTAACTGAAATTCTCTCTGAAAAGAAGTCTTCACGAAGAGATCGCCGGAGCGGCCGTATCAGGATCTGGCGGCCTCATCTCTCAAGTATATCCGAAGACTTGTAACATTTTACGCTAACTCTTAACATTTCTCGTTCTTCTTTTTTAACTCCTGGCCGGGAAGCAAACTCGATCCGTCGATCGTTTAACTCTTTATATATTTTTTTTTCGGGGGGGGCAATGGATCATTCGATTACTGCATCTGAACTCATCAGTTGTGGATATAACGTGTACTCGTTTTTTTCTTTTCTTTTTGAAAAAAAAAAAAATCCGGCTGCCGGGAAGATAGGCAGATTTGGAAATTTCGTCCTCTATGAGAGATCACCTTGCCTTTGTTTAGAGTATCGAGAGTTGTCTTATTAAACAAGTGGGAGATGCGGAGATGAAACAGAGAACAGAGAACGTCTTTGACATAATAATGAAACCAATCATGGAAGCTGTACTTAGTGACCTCCAATTGTAACTAAGAAAAGACGGTTTTTTCTTTTTGATGAGAAAAGAAAAGGATGTAATTTGTTTAATTTCTACTCTGTAATCACTAAATTGGATTGCAAAATCTATTGCATGTGATTATATGAATAAACTAATAGCAATTATAAACTCAAACCATTTATCAACATACCTAATTTTTCCTCTAATTTTTATTTTTTAAACTACTAAAGTATGACTTAATGCTTCAAGAAATGTAGTTTATTCTAAACCTAAAACCCTTATATTAGTCTAATCCTAATTATTCCTAACTCGGGTTATCAAAAGTCTGACTCCAAGATGAACCAAAGCTATGCTCGGTTTGGTAGAAAATAAGAAAACTAAAGTTGAGGGAAAAGTACTTCAAGAAAAAACAGTATCTTGTTTTCTATCAAAACAAGCATTGCTTAGTATTGAGATTAACCAAACAAATATCACGCTTGTAAGTTGTAAGAATATCATTATTGAGGGTCGTGGAAAAATTATTTTTAGTTATGAAGTTTGAAAATACATGTATGTTAGGAAAGGATATTCTGTAAACAAGCATGGAACCCATTTAATTAATAATTAGGAGGTGTTCGCCAATATATATACTTTTGTTTTTGAAAATAAAAACGACTGCCACTTATTGATGGGGTGGCTGTTTTTTGTTTTCAAATGGCTAACAACCCCTTAAATCAATTTAAAGACAAGGGAATAAAAATAGGAAAAATCTATGAATATTGGAACATTTTATTAGGGAGAAATGTGTTTTGGCGCCTTTTGAAATTTGAGCATTTTATTCAGTTAGATAATGAAATAAAAATAGGAAAAATCGATGATAACATGGATGAAATGAATCGAGTAAAATCCAAATGGCAATTGATGAATGATAAGCATTGTGTGGGGGGGAGGGTAATTAGGGAGAAATCATTGGTTACATATTGTTTAACCATGAGGAACTGGGTGATATTAGGCATGGAGCTAGCAAAGTATTCATTCATTGATTGACCCAATGAATGTCCCATATGGGGGGGCTACCATTGGTGATGGATGCGAAGTTTGGGCTACCTGTTTCCTCTGAGGTTGCCCCTTGAATGGTACCACCCATAAGTTCCCACCCTCTACGCGGAAGAGTAATTACTCATGATGGCAACAACATAAACATATATGAGACCTTACTTAATTACTTGGTAGCTATATCAGTTCAGTAATTATTCAACAAAATGTTTTTCGGCTCACCTGAGAGAGAGAGAGAGAGGTGTTTGTTTGTTTGATGGTTGAGGACAAAACCCATCATCCCCTCGGTTTATTTTAAAATCTCCTCCTATGTAAATAGATATAAAATCATATATGAAGAGTCCTTCTGCAGTCTGCCACTCCATGTTAGAACAAAAATAAATGCATGCAAGCTGGCAATTCCTAAGATATATTACATACAGCACATCTTCACATGGATTCCTCACACACAAACACACACTGGCATAAACCCATATGCCTTTCTCTAACTCCATGCACTAAAATGTGTTAATGTTACTAGTTGAGTGGCACGTGCTAGAGAGAGAGAGAGAGAGAGGGTTCCACACTTGGAAGTTTCTTCAAGTGTGTCGATGATCTTGGTTCAGAAAAGAACATATACTGACTCAGCAACAGCCTCATCGTGTAAGAGAACCCGCGTACCGATGGTGGATGGGAAGTGATTGCTCAGATGTTTCCAAAATATTGAACAAGAATCATGCCTTTACATACTCTGATGCATAAACAAGCCCATAAGAAACGACATTTGCTCTACAATGGCTTCGCTAGCTTGTGCATTACTCCTGATCCAGCCACTTAGAGGTTTGGCCGATTGATGCAAGGACGTAGTTGTAGTTGAGATGGTACTCGGTGACCCAGTGACCCTCCTCTCCATGTCTCCATGGTAACTAATGTCATGTCAGTAGACCTCTCTCACAAAGTTACATGACAACCAATTACGAATAAACACGCCAATGTTCTCCATACAATTACAGCGTGGTGATCGGCAGATCCAGGCTCGGATTAAGTAATATAAACGAAGAGGGAGGGAAGAGTGGAGAATGTGGTTGGCATTTTCAACGTAGAAAGCCACAAAAGAAATGAACACTTTATCTGCATATACATGCTAAAGAAAGAAAGTTGCAACTGTGTATGGACCATATAATACAGTAGTAAATCTGCGATTTCTTTTCTGTCTCTCCCCTACATATAAGCCTATGGTTTTGATTTTGTTTGGTGTAAGTTTGACTTGCAGCTTGGGTCTCTCGTCCCCCCTAAGCTCAGACTCAGAATGAGTGAATAATTAACAAAAATTTCCCTATTGTACAGGCATTTCAGTTAACATGGAGGAGTTAACTAAAAAATGTGGACTGCGGCGTTGATCCATAGATCGGGCTCTGAACCATTCCTTCTATTGGCATTGTTGTTGCACCACCAATACTGATAGGGTTTTGGAATCTAATGAGACAAGAATATCTCCAATTATACCAAGCTCGTCCAGCTCAGTCCAGTCTGCCAATCCTGCCAGTAAAGGCAAGTTTTGTTCATGTCGTCTCCCCACCAAGATCAGGTCGAAGTCATTTTCAATGGCTCGAATCACATTAACCGTTCCCGGCCCATCTTGCACTACTTCCTCCCTGTACACAGCACAGTCATTGTCGATGAGACTAACCCTGAAGCTATTAATTGACTGAACATCGAGCTTTTTCTCCGTAAAATCGTCGCTATTCAGATTGTTACTGTTGGCGGCTACGAAGCGGACGACAGTGGGATTGATGCTAGGGTGTTGGACCATACGGATGGCATAGGCTAAGGCCTCTCGATCATCAGGGCCTCCTAAGAAGGCAACGGCGATGTGGTAGAAGGAACGAGATGTTAACATGGACCTAGGAGCCTTGAGCTTTCCACGATCTATAAACAGGGCGACAGAGCAAGGGGCCTTGTCTAGGATATTGCGGTTGACATTCTTGACGGAAAGACTGGCGAACTTGTCGAAGGGGATGATGATCAAGTAAGTCCTTCTGTCCATGGCAAGGGTACATATGTCGTCGTGCATGCTTTGCGTAAGGAGAGATGCTGGTGAAGCATTGCAACGCCACCAGACCTTCGTTTTGTTGCTGAAAGCTTCTAAAAGCATTTATAATGCACCCGACGGTGTCATAGGGTTTTGAAGGAGAGCTGCTGCTAATGGATACATCATGTGAGATGAGGAGTGGGGTTTCACGGCCAATAAGCTCTACCAGGTGGATAAGGTAGACACACAGAGGGCTCTCTCTCGTTGGGTTGGAGGCCTCCAACAGGTTGATAAGGGCAGACACACTTTCCTCGTTGTGGATGCATGCAAGTACTCTGAATTCCACATTGCTCCTTGAATGTTCCATGGTCCTCTTCTTGTAGGGTATGTATCTTCTCGATGGATCATAGATGAGTCTTACTATGTTACTGGACACCACTTCTGAGATTATTGATATAATAGTTAGGGTCGTGTAACATTGCTCGTTGATCAGCTGCTCGATCCAAATTCATATATAGTTTTAGCTTTGCATGCATATGCATATATAAAGAAAAGAAGAAGAGAAAAGCTAGATACAAAATTTGCTTTTTGGCTTTATTCTGACATTCATGGTCAATTGGCTAGCTAGCTAGCTAGCTAGCTAGCTAAGTAATAGCTCTACTCTCAGAGTGAGAATAATTAATAAGCTGGCATGGAGAGTACTTGTTGCAGCAATAGTTTAACATGTTATGTACCTTGAGCTCTAGTGCATGTTTGAACCAGTGAAGAGTATAAACCCCTTGGGCACATCCGATGAGGCCCAGACAGAGTGCATCCTGGGGTGCCATCCTCCATATAACACAAGGCAAAATGATTGCCAAGAGTTTCACAATGAACACCACCAACAGCGTCATTTCCACAATCCCTAAACTAGTGGATTTGTATAGCACCAACACATCCACTTTAGAGCCATACATAACGAAGAAGGATGGTAAGAACATTACTGACACAATCACTTCAAGCTTTTCCGTTATAGCTGACCCTAGGGGTGGGCCATCCGGTATGGCCAAGCCCAAAATCATCACCCCGAAAATTGAATGGTAGCCCATTGCTACCCAGCAAGCCACACCCAAGCACGGCCACAACAACGGAACAGAATATACCTTCCTTGATAGAATTGCTGCGTTGTGGTGTCTGTCTCGCCATCCAAAGAATTATAGGTCGGATAAAGAAAATGATGAACAGAATACTAACAACCCGGCTAACCATGATCCCGAAGAATGCTTGTTTGTCGTCAAAGGATTCCCACATGGTGAACAGAACGGCCACGCAGGTCCAACAGCACATACTGATCATGGATGAAGAAGAGGCAACGCGACCCACCTAGGAATTGAGCAGCTTGAGTTCGGAAAGGAGGCTATTAACACAATGGAACGATGACATTGACTCGAATATTCCAATGAAAAGGACAGACCTCAGTTGGGCTTTGTCCATCTGAGAGAATCGTTCAAGGAAGAAGGTGATGCTTGTGGATAGCAGCACGGGGGCAACGAAAGAAGAGAGGCCTATAATTAACGACAATCTTCCAAATTTGTTCACGGTGCTAAGGTCGTGTCTCACTCCAACAAGGAAGCTAAACAACATGAACCCAAACAAGGCATGCACATTAAGCAATATTTCATCTCTTGGCCGGAACATCGTCTTTCTGAACGTCTCGTTTTGTCCAAGAACCGACGGGCCTAGCATTATACCACTCTGCTGGTGAACATGAATCAATCAATGCATGGAATTGGACATTAAATCATTGATCATATATAAATAAATAAACAAATATATGGGTTACAGAAATTATCAGTTTTAATTTTATATATATATATATATATGATTATATACCAGCATCTGTGAAATGTGTTTAGGTGGTCTGAGAGGCTCGAGAAGCAAGTGAACGATCAGGGACAATATTGTGCCTATACTGAGATGTAACAACAGAAGAGGAAACGGGAAGTGCAAGGGATTATCACCTTGCCGCAAACCCCTGGAAACAATTCTAATTGTTCCCTCACAATAGATTTTCCACGTGAATAAGAGCGGATCAATTGAAACTGTGCTTTCGTTTGACGATGTACTGGTGTTCTCCATCTATCTTCTTCGACAAACCTTTCCTCGCATTCCAAATTCTACTGGGAAGACCGACAGAAGGAACCAAGGTGCCAATACAATGGAGGAAAAGAAAACGAAGTAAACCATCCTAGAGAAGAGACAAATACGAGAGTAACTTCAGTTTTAAACCGAGGATCCAGTGAGAATCGGGGCTGCCAAAAATGTCTATTTGACCATTGACCCCGATCATGTGGTTCGCATCTTCTCCTCTTCCGTATGGAGAATTTACTCTAACTCCCAGACTCCTACTCCTACACAACGCAAACACTTGGAGGCATGGAATTTTCAGTTTTGCGCTTTTTTTCATGATTTTTTTTTCCCAAATACTAATTAAGTTTTTCCTTTACAGTGTGTTGCCTCTGCAATATTTTAATTACTTTTCCTATATTTTAATCTTAGATTACTCTTGGATATGTCCAAACTGCTCGCTTTGTCCATATATTCTTCTTCCCTTTACTTATGCACTGAGGTCTTTCCCTCTCTCATTCAAACCCTATTTAATAAACCTCCACCCTTGATCACCAACACTATTATGTTGCTTTCTTAAATTATTAATTAATGGAAACAAAAAAAAAAAAAGACGAGGAGTTGTTGAGAAAAAAAGTATGGGTGGTTTTCATAATCTAAGGGGGTATTTACATTAATGGTTTTGCTTTCTAAAACAAAAATATAATTACTACTACAGCAAAGAAGTATTGTATTTGCTGAATGCTGACATAGAAATTGTTGTTTAAAAAGAAAATTTTAATGTTCATTAAATTTTATAGTAAAAATTTACCTATAAATTAAAAATGGAATTTATTTAACACACTTCGCAACGTATACACGGTGACTCTTTTTAGCTTCAAAGTAATTTGTCGTGTATAAGATTGTTCATTATTCAGGAAAGGAAGGATTGCAAGATGAGACAACTATCGAACCCCCTATAAATTAATCCGTTGGAGAATAGAAACTATTCAGGGAACTCATCTGAAAGATTATATAAGCTTTTATGACAAATGGTTATTTCAATTTGACCAAGTGGTCTAGTATTGGGATCTCATTATTCCATTAAAATTAATTAAATTTCAGTACAGGTATGGATGAATTTGTGACTGTCCATGCTTCAAGCCTATGGGATTTCGCACAAGGGAGCATGTTAGTAATAGGTTGAACGGTTCTTTGAGATAATTATATAGAGTTATTTCCCCGTCCAAATGACTTACACAAATCTTGATAACAATACACACATGTTAGTGATACATTTTCTTGGTTTTTGACTCATTCAAGGTATTTGGGGGTGCTTATGTTAAAAATATGTGTTTATTTGAATAAGTACTTATTTACATTTGGCACCTAGCTTTTTCAAGTGCTTGTTTTAAAAAATAAGTACTTATTTTATATTAGACATTATGTGGATGTTTTCTCCAATAAGCATTTAAATAAGTACATATGTCTTCCGTTTTCTTGCAAATCTTCAAAATTTTCAACCCAAAGTGAATGAATAAAAGTACTTTGATATAAGTGCTTTTATAAAAATACTTTTGTAAATCAATAAAAGTTCTTTGATAGAAGTGATTTTGTAAAAGTGATTTTATAAAAGCACTTTCACAAAAGTGCTATTATAAAAGTACTTTCATATAAGTGCATATAAAAGTACTTTTATAAAAATGCTTTTGTAAATGTAATAGTATTGAAAGGGTATAATTGGTATTCTAAAGTTTTATTGAGGATAATTCTGGGAGAAAATTTTGAATAAATGTTTATAGTATGAGTACTTCAACAAAAAAAAAAAAAATTGGAATTTTGAACTTGAAAAAGAAAGACTTATTTTTTAAATAAGCACTTATTTTGGGCTTATTTTCCACACACCAATTAGTGCTTAATAGTATGACCCCAACTTAAATAAACACTTTTTTTTAAGCACTCCCAAACATAAGTTCATTTAAACAAAACAAGTTGTGTATGTGGATATATACTGGATTAGCCTAATAAAACCATCATTCCGGCATCATAGATTTTTCTTTGAACGTTTAAAGGCAATCAGGAGTCAGGATTTCCTAATACTTAATTTCGATGAATTATCATCGGATAGTATACCACTTGCCGAAGTATAGGAGACCCAAAGTGCATGGTTCTAAGATGGGCACAGCGCGATTGAAAAGATGAGGGACGGTTAATTTCCTGGCAATTAAAGACTTTGAATAACTCAAAATTCAAATAGCTTGTCCATTCTGATCACGAGAGGTTTTTTTCCCACTCTTTACACTTGAAAATCGAGGAAGCTTCACTATACTATTCACTCTACTGACACCTTTAAGAGCATTCCACTCCTCCTCTGACGATGCTTCTGCAGTCGTTTGGGGTTTTGTCTTTGTAGTCTCATGGCCTGCATGTCTTGCTGGAGCAGCTTTCAATTTCTTTTGACTCACAATGTCTGTTCTCCTTAGTGTCATTTTTGGCCAGGAATTCCTGACGACAGAAGACGACGATTTGAAGAAGAGGCAAATGGCTGCACAATCATCAGCCTTTGCTGTAGGGTGTTGGAATTTCCAGGCTCGACTAGCTCGACGCACCAGCAACTTAGCTGCCATGGATCTCTTCCCAGCGGATGCAACTATCTTTATCACCTCCTTATTTGACAAAACATCCCATACCTGAACAAACCCACAACATGCATATACACATAAATTATTAAAACATCTGGCCTTCACGTACGCTGGATTATAGATGATGGTCAAATGGGGAGGTTAGGTTTCAATATCTATCTATCTATCTAATCCAGTGAAAAAGAAACTATGAATATACAATTTGAGTTGAACTAATGAGAGCCTGATTTGGACATGAAGCACATCGATCGAGAAGATATAAAGATTATGAATTTATGTTCTCTTCGATCTTACCCCATCTGTTGCTAAGACAACAAATTCATCCTCCTCGGCGAGCTCTCTATAAGAAACTTTTGGGGTAGAACTGAGGCCAAAATTTTTCAGGCAGAAATCGCCGAAAGCTCTTGACATGGCAAGGCCAGGACAATCTTCGTCCGCCATCCACAATCTATACACATCGGGCTCCTCCTCCCTAGCGAAAACTCTTCCATTATAGCTCCTAATCCTTTCAGCTTCACCTAAAAGGGTGAACGTGAATTGAACATGCAAAAGAAAAGACATTGATGATTAACACCAATTGCTCCGTTCTTTCTTCAAAGATATGGACATAGGACATAAAAGAGAAATTAATTAAACCACCCACCAGGAAGATTTGGTTTTAGATCAACTGTAAGTTGGACGGGGACGAGTTGATTTTTCTGGTTTCTAGTGCACAGAACTGCACGCGAATCCCCCAAATTCGCGATTATTAAGTGCTCTCCCTGCAGCAGCGATAAAAAGAAGAAGATTACCTCCTTTAATTTGTTGTCTAATTAATAATCTTAAAAATAAAAACCAGTCAGGCAGTCATCAGTCATCATCTGTTGAGTGGATTTCATTAAATGTCATGCATATGGCGTAATGTTATCTACGTCTATACCTTCTTAAGAACGGTTACAGCTGTGCTGCCACTACAAAAGGAATCGACGGTGGAATCCAGGTAGAGTTCTCTATCCATCTCCTTAAAAGCCTTAACAAAACACTTCTTCCATAAACTGAACGATGAAAAGCTGTTTTGGGTATTAGCCTCATTATGACTACTATCAACATGATCGGCGTCCTCGTCCTCGTCGGAAGAAGAAGAATAATAGTCAACCATTTCGGGTTCTTTCAATAAGTAAGATAGTTTTGATGGCAGAGCATCCCGAACGTGGCATGAGACCTTGTGACCAAGGGGACCATGACCATCGAACACACCGCAGAAAATCTCATCTTTTTCACCGCTGAAATCCTACAAAAAAATTATGTCAAAGAAAGACAATAATAAAGCTCTAATGAGAACAAAACAGAAAAACATTTAATTCATGAACTACTGCTAATTGGGAAGAGAGAGAGAGAGAGAGAGAGAGAGAGATGGAACTTCAAACAATAACAACAACAGCGACCAGAAGGAATGATGCTTTAACGGATAACGATCACGATTTCGAAAAAACAGATGGATTCCAGAAATAGAATGCAGAAAACATTTCGGATGCTTCAAACAAAGCAAAGAATAAATGAATTCCTTTTATACAAGATGAAAGCAAAATTAATAATAAAACTACATTCTGATCTTTTTTTTTTTCTCTCATAATTACCTTACCTCCCATATGGTCATAGAGTCTTGATTAATCCCTTTTTTCCCCTTCTGTGTGAACATGGATGTATACTCGGAGAACCCTTTTAACCTAACAAGCTCTCCGAAGTCTCCCTCACGTGCATCATTCACCTCCTCTTCCTTGTCATATTCTTCTTCTTCCTCCTCCTCCACCACGTCTCCTTCAAATTCCATATTCGCACTGCAGCAACCTCCCATATTTGAATTTCCTCTTTATATATAAAACACCCACCAAATTTTCTCAAAAAAAAAAAAAAAAAAAAAACCTAACCGGAATCAGAACAGAAATAATCAGAGTCCGGCGTCTTACAGAGCTATGATAAACGTAAAGGTGAAGGAAGAGTCTTCAAAGCTATGGTATACCAAATTTCATTATAATTCGGTTCTTTTTTTTTACATGTTTTATCTTTTTCTAATATTCAAGCAGAGCAGAACATGAAACGGTGTTCATAGTTCATGCCTTCTGCTAAACGAATAAAAAAAAAATACAATAGCTAAATAAATAAAAAGAATCAATGATGGCGTTGTCCTCGTCTGGGGTCTTGGTTTCTTCTATTGTTGGATGACGGGAGAAGAAACCAATTTTTTTATCTCAAAATATATAAAGTCAACAGATCGAGTTCCTTCGGGCTTGGGTGATGAATGGCTTAGGAAGAGGAAAACCTGTCAAAAGGAATTAAAACCACCTACCCATACGACGATAATTTCGTATATACTATTAGTGCTCCTACTACGCAATTCCTGTAATTTCGGATTAGTGTCACTTCGGTTACCAAACTTTCATAAATTCACATACTAGTCCTTGAATAATCGTTAAGTAAGATATAAATGGTTTTTGAATGATATTTAATTTTTTTATCCATCATTCATATATTAACAAAAAAAAATGAATAGTTTCAAATTTGAGTTTGGCTTAAGTCCAAAAACCCTTAATCAGGGCACCGTTTGCGCATTTGGCCACGCGTCCTCCGAATCATGTGAAGGGACATCTCTACTCCTTCTCGACGTTAGTGAAGTTAAGCAAAACGAGTCATTTTGCTCCTCACCTTTCTTCTCCTTTGAGTGTCGCAGAGACATCTCTCCCCCCATCTGCCTGGCGGCAACTTAACATCTATCACCATTGGCGAGAAACAACCATCACCGGCAGCAGGATATTCTTACACTTCATTCTATTCTTGGCAACAAGTAATTAATTTCGTTAGTCTCTTCAAATTCTAGTTTTTTATCTGCCCGATTGTTTATACATACTAATATCTCAAATTCTCAATTTAGCTTTATTTACTATGTGGTCAGAAATCGCGAAACAGCTCCCTGACCGAGCTGATCATGAAATTAAAATTTTCTGGAACACCCGCCTAAAGAAAAAGCTGATAAAGATGGGCATCGATCTGATCACCCACCAACCTCGGGCTACCAACTTCTTCATGGACCAACCCCATCTGTTACATCGGGCTACTACTCCACCCGAAGCTTATGAGTTGGGTAAGCTTCAGTGTTTTCAATGCCTCCTCCAGACAGCAGCTTTGTTGATGACAAACTCTTCCATCGGTTCCATGAACAACAGCCTAGCACTGAACTCAATCTTGAATGAAAATCCTATTTTAGGTTCATCGCAACTCAACGATCTCACCCAATTTTCTGTTGGAACTGCATCTCAAGCTTTACCTTCTTCAATCCTTTTCTCTCGTTTGCCTGCAGATATTCAGCTGCCATGTATTCATCCTCCCTCTCCTCTTTCATCACTCCCACCTGCTTCACCTGTTACCAACACTATAATTAGTAATCAGGGTGGCAGCTGTGGAATTACGTCTGGCTTTCAAGAAAGAGATATTTATGATTGGTTATTAAGTCGCCGCTGGGTGGATGGAGGGAGAGAGAGGATGAGGAGAGTTGTCTCGTCTGTGGCACTCGAGGGAGAGGAGAGCAAAAGAGCAAAACAAGTCTCGTTTTGTTTAATTTAACTAACGGCAAGTCTTGTTTTGCTTCAGCCCTTCACACGATTCGGAGGACGCATGAAGGGCATTCTCAAAATGCACGAACGGTGCCCTGACCAAGGGTGCCCGGAATGAAGCCAAACTCTTTAAATCCATACCTCTTTTATTCAAGAAAATTGGGGTCACTAAAATGCTTACTGAGACATCACCCCAACTTTCTTGAATAGAAGATAAAAGGATTTGGGACTGTTCAATGTTTGGATGATTAATAAAAAAAATTAGATGGTACTCAAATGAAATTAGTCTTTTCAAATGCCACTTAATGACATATTTTGAAAGTCAGTGTTGAATTATTGCATTTGAAAATTCAGAGACCAAAGTAATATTAGGCCCAAAATACAGGGTAATAATTGGAAATTTTTTCTAATATAAATTTGACATTTTTGCTTCTTTCTTGAAGCCCAACTCGGCAAATAAAGAGTAATAATCTTTGAGAGGTGTAATCTTGTTTCGTAGAATGTTAAAAAGGGTGGGATATATGTTCTTGGACCATGCGAAATAGTTTCATATAAGAAGGTATAGTTTGCTTGAGGTGGATGAAATTGGGATTTTCTTCTGGTGAAGAACGCAAGTAATAACATTGTCTACGTCACTCACTTCTCCCTCTCTTTTCTCTCTCCCTCTTCTTGCTCTTTTTCCCTCTCTTGCATTCTATTTTGTATTTATTTGCATCTCCTTTCTCCTTTCCCTTCGTAACCCTCTTCTTAGACCACATCTCTGTAACTCCCCCTCTCTCCTTCCATTTTGCACCCATGTAAAAACAGGGTCCACAGTACCTAGACGCTTAGCATATGAATTATAACTACAGAAGTAAAGTTAAGATTTTAATTTCATTTTATAAGTATTTCAAAAAAAAAATCCTGTAGGCTTATTAAAATTTCTACCTATACCCCCCAATTAGTTCTTTTTTTCGAATGTGTCAAGCAATTTGAATGTTTTTTGTTTTCCACATTTAATTATGATACCAGAAATACATACTATCAGAATAATTTATAGCCAAATAAATCAACCAGTATGATAACCAACAGGTGGTTTTTATCAAAATTCACTTTGATAAAAGTGATAACTAATCAGGTGTTTTAATCAAAATTCACGTTGACAAAAGTGATAACCAATTAAGTGTTTTTATCAGAAATTCACTTTGCAGCAGCAGGGGGGTGACAGGTCAAAACTCTGGCATCGTATTCATCCAGCAACATGGTTTCATAGATTAACCCATAAAAACAACTGTCATACTAAAAAGAACTCCTTTTTTATAATTTTCTTAAGGTCATCTTGAGAAGGATACAAATACAACGTTTAGAAATAAAAAACAAAAGGTCAGGACAATTTACAAAGAGCATACATACAAATACAAGATTTATACAGTGCAAATACAAGATTTTAAAATACCCATACAAGGTTTTGCATTGTACATACTTGTATTTATACTCCCAAACCGAGTCTTAATATTAAATAACGAAACCATTTAAAGCCATTCATATTGCCGAACACCCTTTATAGGTCCTATCTCTAGAACTAGTAGTTCATACCCTCATCAAATTCCAATAAACCTAGAACTAGTGCATACAAATAAGACCCCTGTACCACATTTTGTTTTAACCTGACCCAAACTCGAGCCATCGACAGCTCTAGAACTGGTTTTATGCATGGAACATAATTTTACTTCACTCAAATAACAAATAATATTTAATTGTTCGACTTAATACCTGAACTGTCTATATTTTAATTTCATCAGATACGATTCAAGGAAAAAAACATTGAAACATCAATTGTTTGTTAATTTCGCCGATAATGCTTCAAATATGATATGGGATATAAAGGCTAAAGTACCACCAAACACCTTAGAGTTTAGTATGTCACCCATGGCATGATATGATAAAGGTCTCGTTCGCTTTTTGGTAAGTTATTTATTCGGGTAAATACACTTATCTAGGTAAGTGTTTCTCGAGAAAGACTTATTCGGGTAAGTGCATTTATCCATGTTCTTTTATTTCTCATGTAAATAAGGCAATGACCATTTTAGTCATAAAATTCAATTATTAAAAGGGATATTATTGTCCCATTCAAATGTTGGCAATTTTCTTCCAAGTGGGAAAGTCATTTATCCACCTAGGAGAAGGGTAAGTGATACCCAGGAAAATAAACTTTCAATTCCCTGGTCCCCACATAAATTTGAAAAAAGAAAAATGAGTTTCTTGGTCAATTGGAATCAAAATCCCATTGACCAACTTTACCCCCTCTCAAAATCCAAAAAAAAGAACGCCCCCCAAGAAGTAGGGAAATCCATGGGTTTGCATATTTCAAAGATTTTCTTTAATTTGGAGTTACTCTTAAAGGCTCAGTTTGGAAATTAAGAGTGCAAATACAAATATGTACAATATAAATACATACAAAATAATACAAAAATATAAGATTTTACACTACATATCTGTGTTTCTAAACCTTTTATTTGTGTTGTACATGTATTTGGTGGTATTTCTAAACATTTTTACTTATGCTGTACATAAATTTTTTTTATTTGTTCCAAGTGTAGCATATTTGTATTTCTAAGCCTTGTACTCTTTTATATTATTTTATATGTATTTATACTGTATAAATTTACATTTGTACTCCTTCCAAGCTAAGCCTAATAGACAAAGAAACCTCCTTATTTTGTCAACAAGAAATAGTATATATATATATATACACGAATGGCCTCAAGAATACTTCTGAATTTTTTTAGGATAAAGTTTACCCTTCTATATTTAAATTTATTGATAAAAAATGAGGGCAAATAGGGTAATCAGTTATTGATATTAAATGAGTTGAAAAGAGGTAATTTTAAGATATTCAAGCATTCAATTCCCTCTCATTAAATCCAACATTTAAATTATTAACTTGCATTAATGTTCATTAAATCATATATTTAAGTCATTCTTGTTTCTTTTCATCATTAAGGTGGCATTTGATAAATTTGAAAATTCAGATCTGAAAAGTTAAAAAGATATTAAAAGTGTCTGAAATCTTAAAAGAGGCATAGTTGCTTTTCTACTTTTTAGAGGATCCAAATCCATAAGTTTGTTTGTGGTGGATGGACTCTTTACCATATGAAATTTACTGATTTTACTATTTTACCCCTAAAACATATTATTTGGAAATGTTGAGTTCAATTTACATTATTTCATAAAAAATCATTTTCAACCTCAAAATAATATTGAAATAATACAAATCATGGAT